TCCGCCACGGGGCACCCTACATGGGCTGCCACCCCTCTGGCTGCATCCATAGGCCCGTTAGCCTCGGCCCTGGCCAGCGCTGTCCCCAGGTTGGTGGCAGCGCGCCCGCTGGCTGCTGAAGGCCTGGTGAGGTGGGGTGGCTGAGCCCTGCTGGCAGGGTCCCGTGGCGAAGTCAGTTAAGGGGCAGCAAGTACAAGTGTGCAGCTGTACTCTGGTGCTTCACGTCAAGGCCGCGCTGCCCCTGAAGGAGATGGTGCTGCCATCCTTCCAGCCCTGCACTAGCCTCTAAACTGCCAGCTGCATGCAGAGCCAGGCTGGGGAGTTGACCTGAAATGCTAACCTGAAAAACTGGTTGTCAGGTAATTCACTTCACTGTTCTGGTCATCACGCAACTATACAACCGGCTGTGTTGCATGGTGAACCAGATCAATGTCAGAAGGAAGTGCCATGGGGTTGGAAAGGACTGTTTTCACTGGGCAGGGATGCAGGACTGTTTCTTTTGGCAGCAGTTTTAGCTTAAAGAGTTTGTCTTAACTACAGTTTCATGATTGACTCAAGCTCAGCTAAGACTGATCTTCAACTGTAAAGAACGGCTTTGACCTCTATCTTCAGGTACATATTTCCATTACCTCCCTTGCATCAGTTCTAGTAATCATGCAGCCGAAGGGTGAATCAGATCCACTTGAAAACTAACACCAAAAAATGACACATTCTTGGGTAAGCAAACTGTTGCTAGAACGAAATTAAGGAAGGAGTTGGGAATGTGCAACTAGGGCAAGATTAGCAGCACAGATTTAGATCATCTTATAGTAACAATAAAAAACACACTTTCAAGGTATAGTTTCATGCCATAGCTATGTTGCTTTAATGTGGCTGCTACTAAAGGGGTTGTCCTGCTCTCTTCTTTCTTGATTGTGACTAACTGCTGCTTCCTTCACCAGCAGCAGTGCTCATCTGACCTCATGATGAGTCATTTCTGAAAGATAAACGGATAGACAATTAAACTCCTTGCAAATGTGAAATGAATAGGGATACATGAAAAACACTGACCATGTAAGGGAGGGGACAGGAATGCACAGCAGAGCTGGAGGGAAGCCAGACCTCCCTTTCTTTTCACTAGATCAGCTCAACCACAGAAGTCCACTCAGACTCCAGGTGGTTAAAGGAATTTAGTTTCAAATCAATTTAGTTCAAAGAGATGTAGTTTGCAGCTAAATACTGTTTTGCTGGTCACCATCAAAATATTAGTATAAGGTGGCTGAGAGACATGAAACGGCTGAAGATCTTCAGGTTAACTCATGCAGAATAGAGCGTGTATCTGAGTGAATATGTGAACAGGTACAGATGATCAAGCTTCCAAAAGGCCAGATATTGAAGCCTTGCTTGAAATTCTTAAAATAAAGCAAATCAATAATGACCAATAGTTCTTGTCAGCTTATCAGCCATCCCTGCCAGATGGTATTGATGACCTCCTAAAAGCACATAAAGTAGGTGGGCAGACCTGCAATTAGTTTAAGAATCATCTTGAGAGTGGTTCTTTCATGCAGAAATTCCATGAATGGACTTCCAGAAAGAAGGCCAGAATGTTTTCGGTCACCAAGAGAAGAGCAGGAAATGCAAGGATCTGTAAATAATAATATTCAAAACAGACAAGAATTTAACAACAAAAAAAAAAGTTGCTGCAAGTAGGCATACTTGGTTTGTCTTGCTCATTACACACTGACAACATTGGATAGATCACTTTGAAGAACAAAGCAGGCAACTTTGGTAGAGGGACTGTGTGGAATGCAAATCGTACTGAAACCACAGCAGGCCATCTGTCACTGATGGAATGAGTGTGATCTGAAGAATAAACAAAGTTAACAAGTACCTGGTTATCAGCAGTACATGATGGTGCAGAAAGTCAAAGAATTGATGTAGTGTTTAACATTTACCGAGAAACATCAATAAAAGCTGCTGAGAGATTCCACAGAGAATCCAAGACAAATATTCATTTGAAAAACACAGCTGCAAGTCACAAGAACGCTATTGTACAGCTCCATCAACAATACTCATCAAATACTTGGTTAAAGAATGGGAAAAAAGAGATTACAGAGATGAGCCTTATGAAAAAATTCTCTGTACCACTTGGAAATTCTTCTGTTTCAAGCTAACCAAAGATGATAGTTCCGAAATGATCCCATGTATGCACCGCACAACCGATAAATAGAAGTCAGTCAGAATCATTGCTGTGTTGTGCCTTTACTTCTCGCAAATGTTTTCACAAATTGGAAAACAGACATGAGCAACATTAATAAAATAGTGTGGTCTTTTGAGATTGATTTATGCAGGGCATTAACTGGTCCTCCAACTTTTCAGGATGTAGGATTAATAGTGCTTTTGCTGGCCGTGAGGAAACTGCAGCCTTAGAACTTATGCAATACAAGTACAGTTGTCAACAAAACTTTTCTATGCTTGAATTTGAATGCCATCTGTTACTTCCCAAAAAGTGCAACAACTGATATTAGTGATGCTTTTACCAGCTCTTCTGAGCCAACCCCTGCCCCCGAAGATGGTGACTACACCCATACTCCATCATGCAAACTGTATGCTAGAGTGCGCTGCCTGCAGATGATGGTGCAGGAATCGGGAGACCATCCCTGCAGTGTCTGTCAACTATAGTAGGTCTGTCAAGTCTTGCTTAGACTTCTGATGCCAAAACCAATTTAGGCATTTAGTGTGTGACTGGCTTAAGAGTCAAGAGAGTCAAAAGCTCAGCAATGTGTCAAATTTTAACAAATTATGAATGTGGTGGAATTGCTAACAGACAGCAGCATACAGAGATATGTGACACATCTGAACTAGCCAAAAGGTTGATGCTGGTGAGGAGAATGGCATGCAAGTTGCATTTAATATGGGGAGAAGAAAAAGAATTACAGTGTTGGAAATATGTTTCAAATTACTGTAAGTACGTCTTAACTTGCTTTTATCATGAGAAAATATTGTTTATGGCATAGTTTCATAGCTCCTTATTTGCATTAAGAATAATTTCTTAACCACTACATACATTTAAACTAAATACAAGAGAGAAAATGTTATGATATGTATTACAAAGTGAAAGGGTGTTATCAAGTAAGTTGCTGCTACGCTAGAATACATTGCATGTTGTTTGTACTCTCATCCGTCCTCAAGAGCAAGAGCAAGAGAAGCATTTTGTTTTCATAGTTGGGGGGAGTTATTACTTAAATGGATATTTTTAGAAACAAATGTCTGAACTGAAGAAGGCAAGGTAAAAGAAATCTGCTTTGCAGTTGGGATTAGATGACAGTGAACTCTGTTGTGTCTTTGGAAGATTTCGTTTTGCTGTTTTCAGTCAGCTCTCAGTAAGTTGTCTCCTGGACAGACTACCTTACCTCCATAGTGAAGAGTGCTGTTCTTGTCAACAACAGTTCCTATCTTGAAGCTGTAGCTGTCCTTCCTGGAAATAATGTTCTCTGAAGATAAGACTGAGATAATGAATTTAATTTAAATTCTATGGAAAGCCAGAGAGATTGGTTTGATATGTCTACAAGTCGTTTGTGTTTCTAAGATGTGCTACAGCATTACGTACTTCTCAAAACTCCCTAAATATGAAAGACATCCATACATATGGAATTGCTGTAATCCAGCTGAGGGATGACAGACCTGGGAATAAGTAAGGTCTGATTGCTGGCCAGCAGCAACGACTGAGTTTCTTACAAAGCTGAAATTTCCAGACAGTGATGCTTATCAGTGCTGCAGTGTGAGAATGTAGTGCCATCAAGGCCAACAACACTCCTAAACTGCAGTCTGCAATAGACCCTTGTGTGTTTGTAACTTAAGCCACAAAAGATTTGGTACAACTATGCTTCAAAATTATTTTCTCTTTGATCAGAATCAGCTCTTTCATTCAGCTCATCTTCATTGGGAAGCTCATGTTACTGTGTTATGATAACACATGGTTATTGATAGGTTGTTGCAGGTCAGCCAAGCGACCTGTAGTTGGTGTGAATAACAGCTAGTTAATGGTCACCCATGCAAGAAAACTGTCTGCCAACGTGTGATTTAAGACTCCTTAAGCAGAACAGGAAATAAGCTGAGAAAGGTGTCCTTGGAAAGAACTGACTTTAGCAGCCAAGGAAAGGGAATCATTACCAGCCTAAACCAAAGAAGTGAGTTCTAAAAGGTGACCAGAATCAAAAGCCTCTGAACATTTTGCACTTAAGAGAAGTGTGTGCATGGATGTCTTAAATTTATCCTAGATTCCTCAGTCACCCCCAGGTTGTCTACCTAACTGATGGTGAGAGCCTTCTCCATTGCTTTGGTGTATTTCCCAAAGAGGGACTGAAAACTTGTTAGCACATTCTACATTCCCTTGTCACCTTTCTCACATGAGGCAATGTTATCGCAAACATGTTGCAGAGAGCTTCAGAAGAATGGGTATCTGCCTTCTGTCCAGTTGTAGAAGGAGATTCTCTATCAGTGTCATAAGCATAATTTCAGTTCCATGGCATGAATGACCATCTCCAAATTGTTTTAGATGAAGCATTGAAGTTTTAGGTAGATAATCCTCTAATGGGACTTTTTCTGAGTTTTTCTATGAGCTCACTGAAGCACAGGAGCTTTGGATACTGCATAGCACAGGCTTTTTGTCCAGCACTAGTTGAATCATTGCACATTTAAAGAAAGGGGAGATTATTTCTCTGAATTA